ATTAGACATAGTCTTTACCTTGCCGTTTATTCGGTGTTATTTGCTTGCTTTGATATTACATATATAGGTACTACATGTGGACCTCTCTCAGATTTGTTCATTTTGTGATGATATCTTCAATTCTCTAATTTTGGTGAATATTTTTGTCATTTTTGGTAAAAGTGATATTTTCGACTTCTTGTTGAAAACTGTAAGTCCGATTGCTTTGATATTACATATATAGGTACTACATGTGGACCTCTCTCAGATTTGTTCGTTTTGTGATGATATCTTCAATTCTCTAATTAATTTATTTTGGTGAATATTTTTGTAATTTTTGGTAAAAAGTGATATTTTCGACTTCTTGTTAAAAACTGTCAGTCCGATTGCTTTGATACTATTCATATTGTTCATTTTCTAATGATGTCTTCAGTTCTTTAATTGAAATGTGCCTTGCTAACAGCGGAGCTATCTCAGCCGATAGGCTGCTTGTTAGTATCTCAAACGGTGGTCATACTATTGTTGTGCTGGAAAAGGTTTTTGAAAATGTATGGAAAATGGGGTTACATGTATATCTGCGATTCTGTGTATTGCTCTTCAGCAACTGAAATATAGCACTGTTTACATTTTAACAATGTATTGGCTATTTTTGTTTGATTCTAATTTTCCAAGTACAAAAAATATCATTTACAAAGTCGTGCATGTTGATAGCACGATAATATTTATATATATATTTTTCGCAGAATATGACTATCTTTGTTTATCTAAGTTACTTGATAAGGGTCACATGGTAAATGGTATTGGGGGTAAAATATTTGTCATAATTGTTTATTCAATTTTTTTCTTACAGATTGTAACCCATTTGGAAATTGATAACTGTATAGATCTACTACAGATATTTAACACCATTCTAAGCCTTCAGTCTATCAAGTCATTGGATCTACCGGATTTTGGAGACTCGCCCATTGACACTTTAGCTGCCTTGTTGAGATCACTGCCATGCTTAAAAAGGCTTAATTTGATGAATACACCCCTGACATCCCTGATACACAGGGTCTTAGATGGAATACAACTACCCCTTGAAGATTTGAATCTGAGCAACTGTCGACTTGAAGCTGCTGATTTCAATTATCTGGCTAGGTCACATCATGTCCAAGCATTGAAGCATTTAGATATCGGCAGCCAGAGACTAGATTTGCATTTTGAGGCATTTCTGAAGTTTCTTTTGAAAGTCTCTGGACATCTTGTTCATTTATTTACGTTTGATGGACATTTATCAGAAGCCCAGATTATCAGGTTGATTGATACCTGTAAATTTCCAGTTTTAAGACATTGGGTGTTGGTTGGTTGTAAGTTTTATCACCATTCTTATCCAGGTCTTATTACAGGTTTAGCAGAGATTCCTAAACTACAGCATGTTTCCTTCTCTCTACCCAAGGGTATGCGTCCAGGCAATTGGGTTGGATCGCCAGACGAATGGCGAGAAGCAGCAGATCATTTCAAAGAAGAAATAAAAGAATTTGTCCAAGAAACATGCATCACTTTTGGGCGTCCACGTATTACTGTTGAAATTTCAAGATTTTGACATCAGCAGCAATGTTGTGATGCATGTGCCTCTTGGTAGAAATCACGATTAGAACAATCGTTGGTTGATATCGCAGATAGTTATCATCTGTTAAAAAACTAACCACCCAGTAATAGGAATATGATCTTGCCCATTAACAAATCTAGCAATAATATTTCAAAAAAGCTCCATGCTTGGCCAAACAGTGATTTGAACCAAGTTATGCAAACAAGCTGGTTGACAATTCTAATTATATTGCTAGAGTTCTTTTGAGATTCCTTGCATGTCTAACATACACATCAGCAGTGATATCTGAATATCAGTTAATTATTAAGAATTTGTGTATGCAATAGTGTTGTAAGTAGTTTTGTGAAAAGACGTATTTAACTGCAATACTGGTATACAGATGTATTCAGGTACTTTATAACATCTCATCACAACTTGTCATACCTATATCCTGGTACTTCTTGAAGAGAAGAGATATTTCTGAATGTGTTGTATGCATTATTATAACATGTGTTTATAAATTAACCATATATAGTTTCAGTAATTCAAATAGTTGTCGTGTTCAGTTTTGTGTGTTGTAGGTACAGTATAGACTGTATTTATGGAAATTATTGATACTTGGCCTCTATCACAGACGCATGTATCCCAGGATGGCCTTTTGTTCTTTATATATCAATATTGTTATCAACATTGACAAATAAACAACAAAACGTCAGTGGCCTCAATAATTCAAATACATAAAGTTTTGACAACAGACATACGTCCATCATTCAGCTCAACTCCTGTACTACTAAAAGCACCCCCCCCCCCTCCCTTCGATTTAAAATCATTTTGTTGTGAAATATATACATGTACCATACAAATCAGTTGAAAAAACAAACATTCTACCTCAATATAAGTGTCCAATTTAGATGACCTTGTTCCTAAAAAATCATACCTATCAATGAAATATCTTTGAATACATACCCCCTCCCAAAGAAACCATCCGAGTTTGACCTGTGGAATGATAAAAAGTTGCGTATGTGAAACTATCAGACGTTATTACTTGTGTACTAGCAGCACTTTTGTTTGTATGAGTACTGGTAATATAAAAGATATTGACTTTACCTAGTGAAAAAAATAGCTGCCATGTCATTTGAAACGTAATTTTTTAGTCCCTGTTCGGACGAAGTCAGAAAATGGGGACTTATGTTTTGACCTCCGTGTGTCCGTCCGTCCGTCCGTCCGTCTGTGCGTGCGTGCGTGCGTCCAGACCTGTATCTTAGAAATGCCTGGACCAGTTACAATCAAACTTCACACATACATCATACATGATATCATACATATGCACGTCAATTTGTTTCATGATCTGATTCAAGATGGCCGAATGGCGGCCATTTTTGTTCTAAAAATCATCAAAATCAAGCATTTCTCTGCTGTTTACAGATGGATTTTGTTCAAACTTAATATATACATTAGACATTATGGGACCTTGATGCAAATAATTTTGTTTTTCAGATAACATTCAAAATGGCCTACTGGCGGCCATTTTGTTTTAATGAATGGGCTTCTAGACTCGTATTTCCAACTTGTTTTGACTGATAATGTTCAAATTTTAAATTTTCATTATACATCATGTCATAGATAGACAGATATATTGGTTTGACGATTCTATTCAAAATGGCCGAATGGTTGTCATTTTTGTGCTAAAAAATCGTCAAATATCAAGCATTTATGGATGGATTTTGTTCAAACTCGGTAGATACATTAGACATTCCTGATGCACGTAATTTCATTTTTCAGATCAGACTTAAATTGGCTGTCCGGTGGCCATTTTGTTTTAATGAATGGGTTTCCAGACCCATATGTCTGACTTGTTTTGACTGATTATGTTCAAATATTTAATATTCATTATACATCACGTCACACATATACGGATATATTGGTTTGACGATCCTTTTCAAAGTGGTCTAATGGTGGCTATTTTTGTGCTAAAAAACTTGTTTTATTTTTTAGATTTTTCTGAATGGCTGACTAGTGGCCATTTTGTTTTAATGAATGGGCTTCTAGAGCCATATCTCTGACATGCTTTGACTGACTATGTTCTAATTTCATATATTCATAATGGCTGATTTTATTTTAATTAATGCTGTTCCAGAGCAATATCTCTCAATACTCATTTGACGATCAGATTTAAATGTTAAACAATCATCATATTCCTGACATGTTTATATTCCAGCTATATTACTATAAACAAAACTTTATATCTTAAATTTAGGGGATTGTGTCATGCATGGCTTGTTTCTGTTGTTTTGAAATGGTTGAAGGTATTTTTGGACTACTTTTATTGGGTGTTTATTTACATATTTGGTGCCACATGTGTAGTGTTTACTGTGATGGTGTTGATCACCAAGACTGGTTTGCTAGTGTCACATTGCAATTGAATAACTTAGATGCTAAATATAGCACAAACCTGTCTGAACCAAACTTTGTGTTAAACTCACATGACCTAAGGGGCATGGGGAAATGTAAGTGGCGTGTGCAGACTCCATACCATACCAGTTCATGTTTTGCGTTTCTTTCTGCACTTGCTAATGCACTCAATACAAAATAAATTTCACCCCCCCCCCATCTAATGACTTTCATTATCTTTGATTTATCAGCTACTCCTAGATCAAATGTATTTACTCACACAAAACTTTTTACATGTATAAATTTAGTAATTCAGTCATGCATTCCTTTTCTTAGAGTAACACTGCCAAAGTAAATGCCAAAGATTATGAGTTCTCCTGTTTTTGTTATATAAAAATACATTCTGTAAAAAAACTTTATATTTATTCTAACATGCGTTTGGAAAGGATTGTTAAATGAAAACTAACACTTTTTTTTTTGTATGAAAACTTATTTATTACTGTTTCTACAGTCATAATAAAATAAAACAAACATGCATGTGTTATCAGTTATTTTCAAAATACAGAACGCATGTTTTGTACAGTAAACACTTCTTATAATTGTTTTTTTCAAATTCATCATAACATAAACAAATATGATTAATGGGAGGTTTTTTTTCTTATTCTTAATAAAGGAGGGGGATTATACTCCATATATATAAATATAATCTGGACGACATCAACTAAGGAATAGACCTTGAGCAGCCAAACTTCAATTCTGCATGGCTTTTATGAAGGGAGAATGTGTTTTACCACATGTGCAGCTTCCACAACGGTCTGTGTTGGCCTTAGCACTCTGGGATCAACCACTGGTACAGAAAGTCTGTAAAAAAAACAAGTTTAAAAAGTTTAGAGAGGATGGTAGTAAACATTTGTAACAAAAATTATTTAACCTTTGCTAACATGAGTAGTTAAACTCATTTCCATGGAAAATAATGGCATTATGCCCAAACAATATATACTGACACCTGTGCATCTTAAAACATTCAATGTTTGCTATATTTAACATTTTTGCTATTGCATATGCGAGTTTGCTTCGATAAATAAATGCCCTTAATTCTGAAGAGATGTCCTCAAAATGAACTACTGCTCAGGTAAAGCCAACACTGCCCTCTGGTGTTTTAAATTGGATATAACTGATACTTACTGTACATTTGTTTTTTCGTTGACAACAAATAATGGATTGTGGTGACTGAGTATTTCATCATTGACTGATATTCCATCAAGATATTGTTTAAGTACAGTTCTTAGCTGTTGGTTCTCTTGTACAAGCATATTTTTCTCCTTATCCAGGGCAACTCTGTCAAGAAGAACTTTGTTGTACCTCTTCCAGAAATTCTCCAGAGCTGTGTAATCATGCATGACCTGAATAAATAAATGAATGATGACATGTTGCTTTAAGAAAAATGGCTGGCTGGTGGCCATTTCAACAATTCCAAAACCATAAGCAATATTGCAATGTTCTCCTTGAATACGGTAATGAATGCTTTTCCCTCTTGTAATTTATGAGTGCTAACAAATAAATGTTTTTCTGTTACAACAATTTGTTACATGCTGCGGAAATAATTTATTTAACCAAATAGGATAAGGTGTAACATGCAGAAAATTTATTGTCTCGTGCCTGCAATGTAAATGCCAAAGGATTGTTCGGGGTTCACATTGTCTGTAGTATTGGGGATAAAAAAAATTTTGTCTTGTGGCATCATCAACAATATTTGAAATTTGGATCCCTTAATCAGTATCAAATCTTCACCATACAAGTGTGTTTGGGTTTAACAAACATTTAGGCACAGACAATTATTTTATCCATGAGAATAGCAGTGTCACATGAGAATAGCAGTGTAAAAGGAATTAGAGTGTTACCTCAGCTAATGGTTCAGACGGTGGTTCCTGTACAGCAAGGTTAACATCATCATCTTCTTCAGCAGTTAGTGATGAAGCATAGAAAGGTAAAACTTTTTCCTCCTCAGTCTCCAGTTTCCGACATTGTTCTGTCAACTTGAGAATTCTCTCACCCTGCAAATAATCGTACCAAATAATGGATAAGAATCGTGAAGTTCAAGCCTTGCCCTTTGAAAATGATTTAGGAGCTAAAAATTGCTCTCCTAAACACAGTTACATGCGGAGCTATACTAGTCTGGAGGAAGGATGGCCACTCTTCTCTTCCCCACTAGGTTGATTCATTGGGTCAGAAATGTGAAAAGTAAATCTCTTGATATAAATCTCATAGTGATACAACAAAACAAAATCTTTGATATTTGTTCTATAAGTAGTGCATGCTATTATGTAAATGACAGAGGTGTGTCCTATAGCATGTTACAATGATCTAGCATGTGGACTTTAGATAAAGCAAATATAGTACTTACTTTTTCTCTCTTCCTCTGCAATTCCTTAATAGCTGCATTGCTTTGCAGTGTTAATTTTGTCAACCGAGCCCTCTCATTACCACGGAATTCATTCATCTGTCTTTTCAACTCTTGGAAATGAACAGAGATGAATTCTTTCTCTTCTCTCAGTTGTCTGTTTCTTTCTTCACTCTCTCTTGCATTCTGTGCCATTTTTCCTTTTAGCATAGCCATTGTATCCTGTAAATCATCAGAACGTCTTAATTTAGTCAAAATGAAATTTTTTATTAAGCTACTGTAAATACATTAATTATTCGCCAATAAGTCAAATCCGCAAATCTTTAGCACGTGAACATGTAAAATAATGTTTTCTTGCCAAATTTGTGACCTTAAAACCAAGTGTAATTGCTCAAAGCATTAAAATAGTGAAATTACATGCCAGTGAAAATAAATGGTTTTACAGTACATGTATATTATTATGAAACATTTCATAATAAATAAACAATTACCAAAATATGTCTTTTTGAATCTTGTGTAACGTAATTGGGGCCAATATAATGACTTTCACTTTTTATTACTTTTACAGAGTTACACATTGATTACTACATGTATGTGTTAAGTTTTATTATCAGATGTTTTGTAGTCTTTAACTATGAAGTAGTCTGTACCATATACTGAAAGTAACAATTACAGTATTTGCAAGACATCTGGGTCAGAAATTGGTAGCAAACATTGCCCTGCATTTATGTGGATTCATTCCTGATTGAGTCTCAGTCGTCTTGGGGTGTCATCAAGTCTAATCGCTGACAATTTAAATACATCATTTCTAATAAATCAAAATTCAATGTGAAACTTTTTCATTTGCATTGGCTGCTATGAATACCTGTTGTTCAGTACCTGTGCATATGGAACATTTTGTACTTTCTAGGCTAGTTATTTTTAGTGTGTTCTTCAAATTGCATAATGGGATTTGAGATTGTTTAGATAAAAAAAATTAAAATGTTCTGACATGCATAACTCACAAACACTGCAACTCCAGATTTGAATGCTTCATTGAGATATCTAAATCTCAAACTAGCACTAAAACATTTAATATCTTAACACATCAGGTAACACAAACTTACTGATATCCTCTGCAGTTTCCTCATCTGGGTTTCAATCTCTTTAGCACTTTTCTCATCCTTAGCTTTGAGATTTTCGAATGCCTGTTTTCTTTCCTCTGTGGTTTCTTTGTAATTGTTCAATGCAACTTGAAACTGCTTCCAGAGATCTTCAACTTGACCTTCCAGCTGAATTCTCAGTGCATGTTTTTCTTCTAAATTCTGTTTAATCAAAATTATGCAAAATATTGAAAAATGTATTTGGATATGATCACAAGTGAGTGGTATTTTCAACACCCACCTACACAATATTGTAAAATAATATAGCATCACCTTTCCTTTACATAAAAGTGGAGAAGTACAATTGTAAACAACAGTGTGTAATATCCTAATGATGAAATACATCTCCAATATTTTCCTCACAATTGGGACTCAATTGGGACAATTGAGTTCAAGAAGTAAAAAATGAACTTACTGAGCAAGTCTTCTAAACAGGACCTGACTAGAAATTCATGGAGACAACTGCTC